TAGTTTGATAACAAAATAGCGCTTTGACTCGCCTCAAATCGTAGCATGTGCTGTTCGTTCGCTCGGTTCAGTACTCGACATATACGGGTTTGAGTCCTTTGGACTGGAAAATGGACTGGAGCAGCTCTGCATCAACTACGCGAACGAGAAGCAACAACAGCTCTTCGTCCAGCAGGTCATAGAGGAAGAGGTGGCCCTGTACACTAGAGAAGGAGTCACGAGCCCGGCAGTTGCAGCAAGAAACAAGGCCTCTCATCAGCGCTCCAACGCAGAGCAGGAGACAGAACAGCATCTGACAAGCGAAAAAGCAAAACCGCCGGGGTCGTTCAAGGCAGATCTTGAGCTCAGTCTCCTCTCGAGCTTGCCCGACACCTCCGCATTGCTTCGCGATTTACAGGAAGGCGTTTTCCGGCGCCTCGATGACTCCTGCCGACTCCTGGCCCAGGGGCAAGCAAGAGACGACACTCACTTCTGGAATGGCCTCTTCACTTACTGCGCCTCCACGCAGCAGAGCATTCAACCGCACAAACCTCTCCACCTGATGCAGCGAAGCAGCAACCCAGCTAACAATGCGCGTGACCAGCACATCTTGTTCTGTCTCAAAGGGACCAACGGGATGCAGGCAGCTGAGGCTGCGGCCAGTGGAGCTCTACTGCAACATCTGCAGCAGGAATATTTGACTTCTATCGGCCTCGTAGGAGCTCAGCAGCTCCAGGCTCGAAAAGGGGGAGGAGGAGTTATGGGAGGCACATCAGCTGCAGGCAAAGTGCAGGAGAGGGTATTTGCTGTCAAACACTTCGCTGGTACTGTTATGTATGGCACCGATGGATGGCTTGAACTGAACAACGACAGAGTGAGACATTCACCCTAACACACGGTGTTGTACCTAATTCGTCCGTGCAGTACAGCTACATTAGCTACAACATATGCTACCTATGAATTGTGTGGACCTACAGATCGAGCACGAGCTGGAACATCTCGTGGCGACGTCTACGAAACCGTTCTTGCGGCAGGCGATGCAGCAGCACGACCAGAATCAAAAGCAGGACGGAATCAGCGCACCAGCAGCAGGAGGTGGTCAATTCTCCTCGATAACAAAACGTTTCTTGAAGAGTGTAAAGGACCTAACTCAAGAGTTACAGGGACCTCACATGCAGCTTCACTTCATCCGGTGTTTCATCCCCAACTGCGGGATGAAACCTGACAAGTTTGAGCGGAAGGTTGTGTTACACCAGGTAGGTGACGATCGAAATAAGGGCACTGGGAGCACAGTAGTGTATCAAAAAGTGTGCAGCGAGATGTCCCCAGGGAATATGGAAAATGCATCTAGTGTAGTCTTGACTGAAATTGGCTAGTCGTCACTTCAATGTATTGGCGTACAAAGGCTGCAGGTCAAGGGTTGCAGCTGCAACCCTAGGAGGTTGCCATTTGAAATTTACGGAAAGATCTTGCAGAAGGCACTTCATGCAGGAGGCAGTGTGGTTGCCTTGATGAGGCGGTTTACTATCTATTATAGAACTGCTGCTTATTGGGCCCGTCGCCGTGCATTCTTTCATTTCTTCAGCTGCAACATTCGGGATCTTTGGCTCTGGTGGACATTCTACAGTCGGGTTTCCCTCACAGAATGCCCCTTCGTGCACTTGCATCCAGACTGCGCAAGGTGCTAGGACCCCTTATAGCGGAACGGCTAAAGGAACAAGAGGAAAAGATGAAGAAGCTCTCAACAAATGTGAACCTGCAGCAAGAAGATGTCTCAAGGGAGAGTCGAGTTCTGGAAACGCTAAGGCACTGCAACCCTGTTACAGTCAGGGACCGCACGCTAGGTAACGAAGAACACAGCTTCCATTCCACACCGCCGTTATTCAGCCACCGGATATCATAGCAGGATTTCCCTTATTGTCAGTCGATGATTGCATACTTCCGTACTTTTCTTCTTTGTGATGCAGTGTCGGCGACACTCGGACTGCTGCCTCAAAGCCATCCGGGATCTTTCATTTGTGGCGTTTCTCTTGTTTGCTTCAAAGCCGCCGTTTATGGAGAAGCTGCAGCGTTGATGGCTGATCCGGGAAACTTTTTTAAAACACCCGAAGATGTGTGCCGACTTATCACAGCTATTCAGCGTCTGCGGTGGCGTGTTGCGGTTCGCATCATTTTGCATGTGCACCCCGCCCTACAGTGGCTACAGCGAAGGGCCTTTTTGATGAGGAGGATCAAGGAGGCGGCGGTCACTGCAGCTGTCAGGATCCTCTTGCTGAGAAAACATGTTCTGAAGCCCCTACGTGAAAGTGTCCAACGCCGAATTTCAATTCGCCATGCTCTCAGAACGTTGGAGCTGATATTGCTACGCCGAGGTCTACAAACGTGGCGCAAGTGCAGCCAAGTAATAGTCGCGACAGCAGCAGCCAAGCCTCTCCCACCTCGGCAAAAGCCAATTGAAGACAAAATTCCTCCGAAAACCGCGAGTCTTAGCGGCGCTGAAACTCCCAGTGGGAGGAACGAGGGTACACGGGCAACCGAGGGAGAAGAATGCCAATCTCACCCAGGCATCCCGGTCTGGAATGCTCGTTTATTCCTTCAAAACGATCTAGGGAAAGAGGCCCTTGCTAAGGAAGGCCGGGTGACTCTATTTCCAGGACGCGATCTGTACTTGGTCCACTACGACGGTGCAGATGAGTCAGGTTCAGACGTGCTCGCTGCACAACAGGACAGTAAGCAGCGCCCAGTGCAAATTGAGAAGCTTCCTGTTTTGCCATCGCTTATGCAAAAGGAGGATACGCACCACAGTGATCTCTTTTCCGGGCATATTTTCGGTGGGGAAGGCAAAGTGGCCTCCGCACCACATGAAACCAGCAGTGGAACGCCTCTTGTGACTATTGCCAAGCATCCGTCTTACACGAGTATATACGTGGCATGCACCGCCGCTGCTCAACTGCTGTTGCTTTCAACTTCGCTGACTGCTGACTCTGGGATGGAAGAGAGCTATGCAGCGGAGGACAAGACAGAGGAACCTCTAAAATGTGGCACCAAACTTTATGGAGAGCCGTCGACTTCGCTACCTTGCCTTGCTTTCCCTTCCAGCATATCCAGCTCGCTAGCTTCTCCCCAGTCACTTCACAGTGGTGACACTAGCGACTCCTCTGGATCCACGAAATTCTGCTGCACAATGGAAAAGCCTTCACCGTCTTCATTTGCGCTTCCCAGAACCTTGTCAAAAGAACTGCCATTTCCCAAGAAATATTTATCGTCGAATCCAATTCCACCAGGGAAATGGTTACCGCGGGATCTTCTAGACCAGGTGACCCGGGCTCTCCAACAGCATGCGGATGCAGGTCAAGCACGACCCCCCACTGTGCGGCCCCTCAGTATCTCCTTTGCAAATCCACTCACAGCTGACTATGCCATTGTGGTGTGCCTCGTCCAAGGCGGCAGCAAACAAAGCACCAACAACAAGAGCAGCTCTATGGGGAAGCTCATTGTTGTCCTGGTCGATTTATTGCGAAGATCCCCAGCCGGCTGGATTCCACTGTTCTTCGCGTCTCATGACATTTCCATTTGCGCACGCCGAAACTGTGCATTCCTTCAGCAACTCTCCGAGGCAACTATCAGCGGCCATACCGAACACAGCAGCAGCGCTTCTGAGGAGCACCAATCCTCGCGATCCCAGCGGCCCGCAGCTCGCAGCCGCAGCCGCAGTACCATGCTCTCCACAGTTCGCCTACAGCCTCTTTGGGGCAACCTATGGGCTGTTACAGGTCCTTCTCTCTTGGCTGTCTTCTCGGTCAACCTCAGGTTCCTACATCATCCACCAGCGGAGGTGGAAGGCCAGATTGGCACCAGAGACCCTCCGCTGCGCCTACTATGGAACATGCCCTCCATCCCGGTAATACATGCTGTTAACGAGAGCCTCAACTCCCTACGGACTGTCCATCCACTACTATCGCCTTGCCATTCTGCTTTCGTGAGGCACTCATTGATTTCTTTTCATTGTGGTGCATTGCGTATCCTGCAGCGCGTGAACGGGATGACCCTAGAACTCGCAGATGTGTGGTTGACGGGATGCACCTACACCCGCCTGGCTCCGCCACATCTAAGTTCA